TACGCATGCTGACGCAGCTACCCACCTGAACTACTATCCTTCTAGGATGATTTTTTTTTCCTTTGTTGTGTGATGTGTTCTTTCTTGTTTGCAGAGAGAAAGAAAGACTGATGAAAGAAATAAGGACCTTAACACCAAGACACGAAGTAAAACAAATAAGAATCATGATAACTGGACAGATCAAGGCTGGAAAGTCCAGTTACATCAATACAGTAGATTCTCCGTTTCTAGGTCATGTGTCAAGACGGGCCTTGGCTGGTGAAGATGAACACAGTTTTACCAAGGAGGTTGGCGAACTGATTTTACTAGAGATTAATAATTGATATATTCTTTATAATCCATTTGCAATGCTGAGAAATGTAACTTAGTTCAAATAATGTGTTGTAAGCTCTACAGTGACTTTGAACTAGCTAATAACGTCATGGATTATAACATTTAAATCCAGGAATGGATTTTGTAATGTAGCTGATTACGTCACCTAGCATTTAAGAGGGTGCTTGGGCCCCTTTTCCCTGTAACAGGTTATTTTTATCTTCCAGAAACACTTGTGTAGTCATGGACAGTTATCCTTTATGATATCCCTGTTATTTACAGTATTTCAGTAGTCTTTCTTTCATATAAAATATTCCCATAGCACAGCAATTTCTATAACTTCCAAATCAACATACAGAAAAAGTGATACAACTTACTCATAGGCCAGCACAGAATACCATGGACCCCAGTTACCAAAACCAAAAGTCCCAAAATAACAGTCCACCATGCTATTCTGCAGAACCAGTATTGGTCGGTGACTTGGTGTGCCTCCTGACACTGCAGCAAAGGAAATTTATAGTTTCAGACATCATCCTCAGTCCCAGGCATCTTAAACAATGTGTCTCTGATACTCCTCCCCCTTCACTGTTTGTTTCTGAGGCCAGTTTTGGAAAGAGTCAGGAGGAAGAACATGCTGGAGCTTTCCTCCTCTGTTCTCAGTCCCTGATGTCCAAGTCCTCTCCTGGATCCAACTACTGCAATCTCTGTCTTTTCTGCTTCTGGCTGCCTTTTCAAAATCCCCAGAGTTCTCCTGACTGGGGCTTTTTGAAGCCTCTTGATAAGGGCTTAAGATTTGTTCTCAATGGGGTGGTAATATTGCATTGGAGGTGTGCATTGCACTTATGCCTAAACATGGCAATTAAATTTAATCTGTGGTAAAATATTAAAATGGCTGTGCAACGGGGAGAATTCTCTCAGAGTTTATATTTTGCTTTTCTGTCGTTTAGTTTACATCATACCGTGTAGAGGACCATGTAAATCAAGAAGAAAAAGGAAATCTACCTTTTGTTATCTATGACACCTTGGGAATAGATGCAATTGTGACAAGTCCTGATGACTACGTCAGTGCAGTGAAAAGCTATATAAATGATGGATATGTGGTAAGTTGTACTGACAATGCATCACTATTCCACCACATAACTGCTTTAGGAAAATAATCTGTGTTAATCATTAGCTCCTTTAGATGGAAGTCTTGGTAAAAGAAAAATATGTCCTTCAAGGAGCAGAAATAACCAGGCAGTACAGTAGTTCAAGGTAAAAATATATTTTTTTTAATATTCAGTGCTGGGAGGAAGCATTGTGACAAGAAATAGTCACTTGCATTTCTCAACAGACAGGAAGTTTCAGAGAACTCTACACAGACCAGTGTATGATCTTACGTAGAGAAAATAAATGGCATACTGTAAAACTTATTTTGATTTTCAATCTTCTCATGTGGTGCTAGGCTACCACCCTGAGTAAACCTAGAAAATGCATTTTGAGTTTATGTTATGTCCTTTGAGGTTAAACTGCTCCTGGTTTTTGCTCTTAAAATAACAGAAGGGACTAGAAAGTAGACAGTAGTGTTTAGTAAAAAAGCCCAATTGGGATTATACATATAAAAGCAAAGCAAGAACACAAACAAAATATGAGTACTTTTGCTAATGGACATTTATATGGAACCTTATTAGCACCACAGAGAAAAAAATATTGTGTTTAAATGATATAGTACTGCATTCTTACTTGATAATTACATCACAAACCATGAGGTTCAGAGACAGCTTCTACCTTACAGCAGTGTACGTAATTAATAACTAAATGTGTAATGCTTTAGAATTCAATGTACTTATTGTTTATTGTCATTTATTCACCATATATTATTTACTGTCTCGTAAAGTACTGTCTACAATGTGTGCTATTTATCTGTTATACTGTTGTATTTGGGGCAACCCGTGTTGTGAAAGGCCCTATATAGAAATAAATTGAATTGTGTCTTTTTCACATACCCCGACTTGCTCTCAATGAAACACACAGACAGGGAGAGAAGCTTGGGGTCAAAGCACAGGGTCAGCCTGACCTTTACCCATCATGGCCTCCAAATAACCCCCATCTCTGAACTGGTTTCATCACTGTGCTCTCCTCCTCACTGAGAGCTGATGTGTGGTGAGTGTACTGGCACACACTGGCTGCCTTCACATAATCCAAGAGTAGTTGGTGTTTACAGCCTTGCTCAGGAGCCCAACAGAGTAGGATTTCTCTACAAGCTGCAGGATTTGAACTGGTAACCTTCCAGCCAGAGGCACAGATCCTTAGCCACAGAGCCAACTCAGTGCCTGAAAGACTCTTTTTGTAAAATTTATGTCAAATAAATAATAATAATAAACTTTATTTTATATAGTGCTTTTAAAGGTGGCTTCTCAAAGCGCTTTACAGAATGAGAACAACAATAAATAAAAAGATACACAAGATAAAACACAATTACAATATGCAGAGGAGACCATGGATGGAGGTACTAGGAAAAGCAGAGGGGTGAAGAATGGAACCAGTTAAGTAAAGGCTCTTCTAAAGAAGAAGGTTTTGAGTCTGGATTTGAAGTAGTTTAGAGGTGATTCTCTGATATCCTTGGGCAGAGAGTTCCAGAGCTTTGGGGCATAACAGGAGAAGGCCCTGTCAACCATACAATGTAGACGGGCTTGGGGGACAGTTAGGAACCAGAATTAGAAGAGCGAAGATTGCGATGTGGGGAGTAAGGTGATAATAGTTCAGACAGGTACTGAGGTGCCAAGTCATGCAGAGCCTTAAAGGTGAGCATGAGCATTTTAAAGTCCACACGGAATTTGACAGGAAGCCAGTGCAAGGACTCCAGGATAGGAGTAATGTGATCACTTGCACTAAACCTGGCCAGGATCCTGGTTGCTAAATTTTGGACATACTGCAGTTTGTTCAAAGTAGATTTAGAGACCCCAGCAAGTGGAGCATTACAGTAGTCAGTTTGAGAGAACACAAATGTGTTGATCAGCTTTTCAGCCACAGTTAATGATAGCATAGCGCGTAGTCTATTGATATTTCTGAGGTGAAAAAAAGATGTTTTGACAATATGCTGCACATGTCGGTCGAATGTTAAACCAGAAAATAATATCACTCCAAGGTTTTTCAATTTAGACTGAAGCTCAAGTACAGAATCATCTACAGATAGGGTTACAGGATTGGCTTTATGAAGTTGATGGGGGGTGCTAATAAGCATGACTTCACTCTTGTCACAGTTAAGATTAAGGACATTTTGAGTCATTAAGATTTTATGTCAGAGATGCAATTAGATGTAGTAGAGACAGCCACATCAGTGTCAGGTTTAGTATGGATGTACAGTACAGATGCAGCCATTAAAAACAATCAGGCGATACTGCATTATTTTGTGGTGCGCTTCTCGCGGTGTAAAGCAAGTTACCGTATATATCTCGCATAGTACCGCATGAAACCACATGTTAGAGCAAGTAAAATAATAGTATCTGGAATTTCCACAAGGTGGAGCTAATAAACCTCAACCTCTCATGTTGTCGTCCTTACCCCCCATCTTGATTTAAATACTATTATTTTTTTCACAATCTGGCAATGCCAGACAGAATTCACATTCGCTGCAGCCAAATGGCCTTGGAGATCAGAAAATCAAGGAACAAAACAATTATTGCGCCCGGCTCTTCAATGGGATAGCTTTAACTTGCAAATGCATTGGTGTAACTGTCCGGGTGTGGCAACCTCTAATGTCTCCCAACTTCGGCGAAAGGAACCTGTCTTTCTTTGGAGGACAATGAACACATTCTAACTGTACATGCCCCCTGACCCTGTTTTGCGTCAGGGAAGACGAATACGAACCTATTTCCCTTTGAAACTTATAAAAAACGACACACTTACCAGAGCTTGCACAACTACTGTATAACTAAAAAATACCTCTTCATTGTGTGAAAATACAACCTTTATAAGTTTATGCAGGTAAATTAATGCTATTAGGAATGATTTTTTAATCTATCAATGTTAGATAAAAAAAAACACATTGCCCAACGTTAGAAAGCATCTTGCATTACATTGCTTGAAAAATAATTTTATTTAGAGAGACTGGATAAGTAATTCAAGTGTTTTTTAACTTCCTGAAAAACAAGTAATAATTTAATAATATATGTAAATGTTTTATTATATGTCTCTGTTGTGAATGTTAATAATTCTACAGACATAAATAAAATCTACAGACATTTAAAACAAAGACATATTATAAAATATTTACATATACTGTAGACAGATGGAGCATTATTGGGAGACAGACTCACTGTTTCTCAGGCTGTGACAGGAGATCACATACTGGGCTGCCAGTTCAACGGAGTTCCCTCCTCCCTCTCCCAGTAGGATTGGGACCCATTGTGATTCTGGCAGGTGTGGGAACTCTGGGATTAGATTTCTGAATTTCGGGAAGAATGTTTCTCTAATCCCAGAGTATCTGTCACAGTGCAGTAGGAAATGCACCTCTGTCTCTGTTTCGCCCCGCTGGCAGTGGGAGCACAGCCTGTCTTCTCTGGGCAGCCAGGTCTGCCTGTGTCGCCCAGTTTCTATGGCCAGGCTTTGGTCACTGATCCTGTACTTCCTCAGGGTCTGTTTCTTTTGTTGTTTCTTATCTTGATCAAATGTTCGGCTAGTGTGTATTGTCTGTTTAGGGCTCTGTAGCATTCCAGTTTATGATGTGTTTGTGTGTGTGTGTCCCAGTGTGTGAGATATTGCTGTTTGATCTGTGCTGTGCTGTGATGTGCTTGAGTCTGAGTTGTGGTGCTCTAGCAGTGCTGTCCTGAGGCTGGCTGGTGTCATTGTGGCTCAGTTCAGTGAGCCTCAGGACCAGTTGGCTCAGGGGGCTCTGTCCTAACACAGCTGTATGAGCTCCACCAGTCAGGACAGGAGGCTACTGTACACAGAGAGGGGCGGGAGGGGGGAACAAGCTGCCCAGCTGTGTGGTTGA